CCCCAAAACCCCAAAACCCCGTATTGACTGTATTTATAGTAAATTCAATTTTATAGTAATAAATCAACAGAGGAATACAACATTATATATTCAGTTTGTTTTAAGTTTGGTTGTTTAACTGTTAGCTATCATTAGAATTCATGATTGAAATCAATGGCGTCAAATACTTGCTAGTCAGGATTAAGTCCCTTTGCTCTTGATGCGTAATAGCAAATCATCTACAGGGCTGTGCATGCCTGTAAAGCTGAAAACATGCTCTCAGTTGGTTGCAATTAAATCAAGAATTGGATTCTAGAGACATCCATAATCTTTGTAATGTCTTTTAGCAATGAAATGACTACAATAGTAGCACCTCTTTCTCTAACCTATCCAATATTGCTAATGACTTGAGTTAAATGCTCATCATTAAGCACGATGAAGATAACTAGAATACTGATAAAGAGATATTAGCTTACCTGGAGTTCTTTCAGCTTCATCTATCATCGATAAGGGGCCATGTCTGAATTCCCCACTAGGATAGGCTTCTGCATGCATTGTTGTTACTTGTGTGAACTTTTCAGCAATATAGGTAGCTATCATAAAGCCTGTGCCTTTTGCCAGTATAAAGAGATTTTCATGATCTCTTAGGAATGCACCGACCTCTTTGTATTGATTCTTATATGGATCGGTCAAAGCATGCTTGAGTCTCAGATTCAACATCTCTAAATCTTCAATAATATGCTATCTAAGTTTCTTTTACTCCTCTACAAATTGTTAATTGCAATTTAATGACTTACTATTTTGCTTTTTAGTCTTGGCATCAGAAAACCAGAGTGCGACCAAAGCCATGCAGACAATTTCAGGAATGAAACTTTTGACATCACAATAGCAATAGCCAGCTTTCATGTAGAGTCCAATGTTTTTATTTTGACTGTTATCGAAGCCTTAAGCGCTCAAATTCTCTCCTACTTTAGTAATAGGGGAGTCCTCTACGTTAACGACATTAATACAGGTCAAATCCTAGTTTCTTGCAGCCTAGAGAGCACTTATAAGATGCATTGACTCTCCTGATTGAGACAATGTAAGATATCCACCTTGCTAAACTTTTGCTAAGTCTCCCTTTTTGATATCATGGCCATCAAATACTCTTACGGTGTTAAAGATTTAAAGAGTTTTCATAATATGAGCTCCGTAGTCAGCTGCTAGTTTAGAGCTGCCATTAGCTGCTATAATCAGGTTTTAAATAAGTTTAAGCTCCTCCTTTTAGTCTTCAAAGCCTCCTAGATAAACCTAATGGTTGGAAATGAATTTCTTGCCAAAGTCAATAGCAGCATTAACTGCATCGGCTGACTCGTAGATCTCTTCTTCAAAGATATGATCAAATCCTGACTTTGGTTGTCTTTCAACTGAGATCTTTTTCTCAAGTTTCTCCATTGTAAAAGTGCAATCATCCTTCAAATCAACAAGATGATTGTTAGGAATTTTATGTGTTTCACATTTAACAGTTCCTTCATTGAATACAACATCTTGTGTGGAGACTACAACAGAATTAGGGCTTTAACCAATGATAAAGTTGCCTGAGTTTTTGACGAAGTATATGTGGTCAGGTTACTCCACACTCATGACTGCCAACTTCCATGTTCCCATCAGTTTCTTCTCTATTACGCTCTTAACAGCATCCTTCACTGAAAGCCCTTAGTCCATCTCAACACCGATTAGTTTGGCAATAAGTTAGGAATCAGTTTCTGACTTAATTCCCTAGTTTTTGTAAAGTTACTTAGCCAGATCCTCGTAATTTGCAATAAAACCATTATGGAAGACAATAACTCTAGATTTTTCATCGGAATGAGGATGAGCCATATTCTCCTTAATAGCTCCTTTGGTTGAGGCATATCTGCTGTGTAGCACACCAAGTCTACTCTTTATTTTCTCATCTTAATTTGTGAAAGACTCTGACATTTTGAAGAAGCAGTCCTCTTCCTGAGGTACACTTATTCTGCTCTTGTTCATAAACTGGTCATGATCTACATGCTCCAGCTAATCAGCCCATTGTTCTTCTCCTAATGAAGTAAACTTTCTAACCTCAACTTTATTTGAAACTTAATCTCTCAAAGCGATTCCGCATTGATGATAGGGGTATTTTTGCAAAAAATGTGCGTTCTACATCATAAAGTCTTAAGCATTGTCTTCATCCTTATTTACATAAGCCAAAATTCCACCACATTCATTTTTGTTTTCGATATTCTAGAGAGAAAACAGGTATAAGTATATGAAATAATATTGAATTATTCACTTACTTTTCTCATGTAGTTGTAGAAACCACAAGTAGCGATAAATGCTAGTGACTAAGATAAGGAAGAGGGATTAGACTTTACGTGTCGCTGAGCTAATTTTGAGATCAACATTAAATTTAAAAGATAAATTATGCAAATTTATAAGATTCTCCTTTTCATCATGATTTCATAATAAAGGGGTTTTGGGGTTTTGGGGTTTTGGGG